GCCATGGACGAAACAATGGTGGTTCGTCAATGGTCGCTTAATTCCTTTCTTTTTTCTTCTTTCCTTCCTTTCTCCCTTCCTTTCTTCATTCCTAAACCTTTTAATTTCCTTCTAGATCGAAAAGTGATAGTGATCGGAATGCATATGTTTAATTGCTTAATTCTCCCGTATTTTAATGTTTGAGACATGCAAATATTAGACTCTAGACTCGCTTTTGCATTTTATATGTCGGGATATAGAATTGGTTGACAATTGTGTTAAAAAGAACCATATATAGAGGAAATTTATGAGCAAGACTAATTCGGACACTCGAAAGCACAAGGAGCGTGGGCACGTAAGAGTAATGGCGTGGGCACACAAATGGAGTAGATAGGCATACACAAGAGTATGAAGGCATGGGAGCGTTGCAACATGATGTGGGCACGTTAAAAATCGCAAAAACGGACAACGTGACCTTAACTAGGAAACAAATTCCGTTACGATTTACCAAGAGGGGAGACTCAAACTTTTTGAAATAGGAGTGAAGATTTTGTACCCTTTTAGAGAAATAGAAAACCCATATAAATAGGAACATAATAGAATAGAGCATATAACTTTTATTCCTTCATTCATTATTTTGATTGTAACCCTAACAACATTATCGACTTTATTTTCTCTCTCCTTTGATGACGGTTGCCATGAATATTGTCATGAGGAGCTAAAACCCCTTCTCCCGGGTAAAGGTAATCTGAAGCTTTTGGAAATCAAAGATTTTGAGGTGTTTAAACATTAATGCAAATCAAATTATTTATTTCAAGTATTAAAATTTCTTTTCTACTTTTTTTCATGATTGTTTAGGCTGATTTCTAATATACGTAGTTAGTTTATTGATCGAAATAATCTATAGCTAGATTAAATATTGAATCCATAATCGTTCAATCCCTTTAATTCTTATAGCAACTAGGAGTGATGGTTTGTTGCGTCGAAGCTAATGACTTTTAGGAGGATTGTTTAACTAGATTAACATGTGTTGTGTTATCTTGCTTTATTGATCTTTTTGATACATAAAGCTATGATTTGATTAAATCTTAGATCGTATCTAGGGTTGTTAAATAATAAGGGTTAATTAGAATACATGTTTCTAGTTGGCTAATCGTAAGAAAAGATTGATTTTAATATCACAATAAATATTTGAATGATAAACTAATATTTATGTGCACCAAGGATAAATCTCGAGTTTCAAAAGTGGATATGACTCGAACCAAGGCTTGTTTACTTGAACATTTGTCTTAAATTTATTTTCTCGCATTTAATTTGTTTAGTTTTGATTATATCTCTATCGAATCCAAAACCTCCATTTTATTTATTTCAGTTTCTTCTTGATTTATAATGACTAACACAACGTAACTCTTTGTGGGATCGATCTTTACTCTCCCTTACTACATTTGTGTTGCAGGAGTTTAAGAGTTTAATTTGGGTGCATGTAACAACACTACCAAAAAGCCCCAAATCGTTTTTTCTTAAAAAATTTCCAATTTGGTCGAACCCTAAGTCTTAATTTTTCTTTAATTTCTTGTGCAACTAGTCTAATTGACTTGATTTATCTTAAAATAAAGTCAATTCAAATCCTTTAAGACTCAAAATTTTGAAAACCTCCAAATCAAATTTTGCTAAAAAATACTCAAGATCCCTAGGTTTTGATTGAAGTCAATTCGGCTTCAATTTGGGGTTCGAACCCCAAATTAAAACCTTACCTAACTTTAATTATCCCTTCTTTCAATTCTCTAACCTCAATTTTAAATCAAAATTAAAAATTCCTAAAATTTTTTAAAAAAATTGAATCATCAGAATTTTATTGAAAAGGATGAAAAAGGTGGACTACCTCAATGGATTCGGGTTGAGGATGATGATGGAGAAGTGATGCTCGCTTCAACAATTAGGCAAAAACAATCTTCTCTCTCTCTTTTTTTTTTTTGCTACTCGTTAGTTTAGGTTTCTTTGGTTTTTTCTTTCAATTTTTGACTCTTAATTTTCGGACTCTCCCCTTTCTTTGTGTGGTGACTTGTATGTGTGTATATATATATATATATATATATATATGCATGAATGCTTGGTTCTCCACCATGATAGTGTGGGACTTTTCTTCTGCAAGATTGTCGAGTGGGAGGGTTGGATGGGATTGAGTTTATGGGTCGTGCGGTGGTGAGACTCGCTGGGGATTGGCTTAGAGAGAGTGGATTGTGGGTTATGCGGGGTGGCCGACGGGAGGGGTTCTAGCAAAGTATGGGGAGAAGTTGTAAGCTATGACAATAGGAGGGTGGCAATAAGTTGCGGGTGGTCGTGAGTTAGTAAGGGAGGTTGTAGATGGCTAGCATTGTTGACTCGAGGGAGACGGAGCAGGGGGAGGCTACCGTCTAATTACAACAGGTCGAGGTTATGGTGATGGAGGCCGGTAGTAGGAAATGGCAGTGGGGGAGGTGAAGGTTGACTTGGGAAAGGTTGTGCGGGGCAACTTGTAGTAGAATGGAGGCTACAAGTTACCTGGAGGATGGGTTATAGGGTTGCTGAAATTGTTGACTTGGGGGAAAGAATAGTGCTGAATTTTGCAAGAATTACAACAAAGAGTCGTTGACTTGGGTAGCAAACTAGATTGGGGAATTAGTCTAAGATAGTTAGGAGATACTGAAAAATTGTAAAGGAAATAGAGAGGAATTTTCCCTCCATCTCTCGCTTTTTTTTTTTTTTTAGCTTTCTATTTTTATTTCTTTTGTAATCTTTTTGTAATTTTGAGTAAATGAAAGAAAGTATTTTTGATAGATTTTTTTTATATGTAAAGCAAGTATGAATTTAGATAATAAAAAGAAAAACTAAAGAAAACTAAAATAAAAGAAAAAAATGGGTAAAATTTTGAGGTATGACACTAGTGAAAAAAACAAAAAACTAGAGACTTCGAAAGTGGAACATGTAGGTCATGTGAATTTAAGTATTTTGTGCCTTTTTGTTTTTGTTTTTTTGCATTTTAATAAAACATTTGAGTTAAAAAAAATTATATGGTCGAAAAATTTGATCAAAAGATAGAATGAACATTTCAATTTTTTTTTTAACAAATGAGATGCTATTGAAACTTTTGGAACATATAGAAGACTTTGAGTATTCTATAAGGACAAATTTATATCTTTATCATAAACATTATAGAAAGTTTATAAGAAAAGAAAATATATTTTGTTATACTATAATGTTAAATTAAGAATAGTCAATACTGATCAATAGACTAAATAAATATCTTCTTTTCTATTTTATTTTGTTTTTAAAATACATTAAAATATAAAAGACAAATAAATATTATAGAAAGATTGATGCGAAAATAAAATATGTTTTGGTATAATATAATATTAAATTAAGCATGGTCAATACTGCTTAATGGATTAAATAATTAATTTTTATTTTAAAAAAACAAATTAATTTTTTTATTGAAAATAGAGAGACTATATCGTTTACTAGCCGATTGCCCGCGCTACGCCATAGGTTCGATAAAATAAAATTATTTTAAATTTTTAAAATTTTTAAATTATAATATTTTATTTAAATAATTTTTTCTAATGTTTTTATAAATTCTCTTTTAAAAAAACATAAATTACTTTTCTTTATGGATTGATCTATATATACTTCATAATCAATAAAATTAGCATAAAAAATAGTATTCGAATAATTAGTTGGTTCGTTTAAAAAATTATTTTAATTATTTTATTATAAATAAATTGGTTCTATAATGTTAAAAAAATATTTATAGTAAATAATTTATATTATGTTGGAAGATGTATAGTTAATTTTTTAATTTTGTAATCAATAAAATTAGCATAAAAAAATATTTGAATAATTGGTTGGTTCCTTTAAAAAATTATTTTAATTATTTTATTCTAAATAAATTAGTTCTATAATATTAAAAAAATATTTATAGTAAATAATTTGTATTATGTTGGAAGATGTATAGTTAATTTTTAATAAAATCAACGATTCAATAATTTTTTTTATATGTCTTGACCATATCTTAGTGAAGTGAGACAAATTATTTAAAATAAAATTTTAACATTTTAAAATAAAATAATTATATACTTATATATATGCAACTATCATGTAAAAATTCTAAGAATTCATGATATATATTATACCAATTTTTTTTTTAAAATCGAGCTTTAAAATTTTATGCTAAAATTCAAACATAGATAAAAATAAATTATATAATATCAGTAAATAAAATTTCACATGAAAAATATTAATTGGATGAGAATATTTATAAAAAAATGATAAATTTAAAAAATAAAATTTTAAATAATAAGAGTAATATAAGTTGAAGTATATGTTAATTTTAAAATATAAAAAGATATCTTATATAATCGTTAGTTTGTATGAAAGAAAGTTACGATTGATTTTTTAAAATTTTAACACCCAATTAAAAAAAAGAACATAAATTGATGAAAAAAAACAAAAGAAAAATTGATTTTTCAAAATTTTAAGACCCAATCAAATAAATAAAAAAAGAACATAAATTGATGAAAAGAATAATAAAAAAAAACCAAAGGAAAGAAAAAAAAGCATGTCTAGTCGGGAGATTAAAATTTTTATTTTAAATTTTTAGGGATCAAAATGAAATAACTTAAAAATTACAAGGAAAAAAATCTAAGCTACAATTTTTTAGGAAACAAAATGAAAAACTTAAAAAAAAAAAAAAACTAAGTCATGCAGTAGAAGAATGATTTACTTGTTCAAATGAAGAGTAAAAGCTATAATTTTTAAGGAAACAAAATGAAAAAACTTAAAAAAAAAAAAAACCTAAGTTGCGAGTGGAAGAATGATTTTCACTCGTTCCTTTTTCTCGCATCTTTTAGTGTTATAGTAAATAAGCTTGTGAAATAACGGAATAATCGTTTCCAACAAAACCACATTTTGGCGCTTCTCTTATCTCTTTCTCAGAAAGTCTCTCAAAGTTTCTCTAAAAGAGAAAAGAATCAAAGAAATCGTCAATGGTCGACGAGAAAGATCAAATTGAAATTGATCTTAAAATCAAGGCTGAACTTATGCGTTTGGATCAATGCCATGAAAAGAGTAAACAAGAGATGGCTAAATTGATTTCCAAAAACAAAAGTGAAAGTGAGGCTATCCTGGATGAAATTGAAGCACCGATGAAACTTCAAGAAGATGCATGTTATGAGAGACCGAAAGAAAGACTCTCAAGGAAATCAACAATGGTCGACAAAGATCTAGGTGCAATTCACGCTCAACTTGTAATCCCGAAAATTGACACTCGAGGATTAGGCTCTATTATGAATCAATTGGTGAAAAAATTGATGACCAAGACAAATTGATCGGGGAAGAAGTCGGTAGGTGGAATGAGTTCATGGAAAGTTTTCTTTTTTCTCGTGAAAGAACCAATGTAAAATCAAGCACACAGATTGATTCCGCCAAGAAATCAGCTCATCTTGATGAATTCAAGAAAGAAGAAAACATTGGGAATAAAGGGTCGAAGACCGGAGTTGGTGGAAAAGATTTAAAGATAGTTGTTGATTGTGACCAACTAGAGTCAAGAAATATGGAAGAATCGGATCAAGAAATGTAAGAGTTGGTTCTTGGAAGTGAAGAACATTATGTGAATATGATGAACTCAACAATAGCTGCCATCTTTGATTAATCCAAAAACTCTAAGCTTGCTTTTCGTACAAGCATAGAAGATTTCAAGTAAAAGGATGTACACTTTGATTCATGAAATGAAAGCCGATTTTAAGAAAGATCTACATGGTGCGAAGAAGACTAGTGTTCAAGTGGCTAAAACAACATGTTGAATCGAATGTTACAGACCTCGTTACGGCATGTCGTTAGCCTTAAATAAGAGGGTGTCGTTTTCGGTGTTTTGTAATCGGTTATCACCGTTGTCATTTTTCGTTAATTTCAATTGTTTTGAATTTCGACATGTCGATCCGTTACAACGTAATTGCGGATTGTTGGGTAAATAGAATATTTGTACAGAGGATCATCATAGGGGATTATTCGTAAAATATTCTCTCGATTCTCTCACTCATTCTCTCTCTCTTTCTTTCTTCTTCCTTCTTCCCCAATCTTCTCTCGTTCTTCATTTTTCCTTTCTCATTTTCGCACTTCCAGCTCCGTGTACATAACATCCGGTATCGTAGCCGCTATCCGCTAGCCGTCTTTGGTCCGGAGCCATGGTCGAAGGAACCCGCCTTAAAGCTCTCGATGAGCAAGTCAAGAAAATGGAGACCAAGTTGGGTGTCTTGGAGGACTTACCGTCCAGGATGGAGGAAACCCAAAGGGAAACTGCCGAAATTAAACGGATGATGAAATCCATGATGGAGATGATGAGCTCCCTTCAATCCCAAACCACCGAGGGTGGAAGTTCTTCGCGGATCCACCAACCCGATATGGGGAAGGGCATTTTACCAACCCCTATACACATCGATCCCCAAACACCAACCTAAAACACTCAAACCCGGACTAATACTCCTACCGACAAGAACTCGAGAACCTCTCTACAACCCATACTCCAAACCCAAACCCAAATATGGCCACGGCTCGATTTTCCCATATTTGATGGTACCAACCCCGTAACCCGGTTACGGAGATACAACAAAATATTCCGGGTTTACTGTGTCAAGGAGGAAGCTCAGGTGGAGACGGCTACCATGTTTTTGGATACCAAACCCGACATTTGGTTTCAAGAATGGAAGGAAGGGAAGCCAGTATTGAAATGGGACGAATTCGTGACTGCTCTTTGTCGCAGATATGGAGAGCAAGAAGAGATTCGGGTGGTGGAAGACTTCCATCGCATCAAGCAAACCAAGCACGGTAGCGGATTATTTAGGAAGGTTTGAAGATCTCAAATCCCCAGTAAAGAAAATCAACCCCGGTTTTACTCGAATCTTATTTAGTTAAAGCTTTTATTGGTGGACTAAGAGATGACCCGAGTGTGGCAGTGAAGCGTTTCAAACCCAAGGACTCGAATGAAGTTTATGAACAAGCTAGATTGAATGAAACATTACACAAAACTCACTCGTTACCCAAATACTCCAGTACCTCAGCCCACAAAACCCCCACCATCACTCCAACAACCTCAACTAAACCAACACCAAACACTACCTCTTATATCACCATACACCTTTACCAACCACAACAACACCTAAACAACCAAAACAAGGACAACCACAATACCGGAGCTTTAACTAGAGGAGAGATAAGGCGAGAACCGGGAAAGTGTTGGAAGTATGGGGAGAGATACTTTTCGGGGCATCGGTGTAACCTCAAACGGAGGTCGCATATGCCGCTAGCAGAATGGGATGCGGATGAAGGTGATGTGGATGGAGGAGGAGTCGAAGAAGGGATTCGGAAAATGGAGACAAGTAGTGGAGGGGGATAGCGGAGTGTCATTACATGCCCTTAGTGGCGGAACCGGCCCTAGCACTTTCAAGATCAAGGGTTATGTTGGAAAGAAGGCAATTAGCGTGTTGATCGATAGTGGCAGCACTAACGACTTCATTGATGAAATTTTAGTGAATGGGTCGAAGTCGCCAACAGTTAGAATCCCAACAATTACCGTTACGGTAGCCAATGGGGCTAAGATGAGAAGCGAGGCGAAGTGTGAAGGGTTTACGTGGTTAATGCAAGGGAAGGAATTCACGACCGACTTGAGAGTTTTGGCTCTAGGTGGTTATGATGTGGTCTTCGGGTTGGATTGGATGGAAGGATATGATCCTATCCAATTTGGATGAAAAAATAGAGAGATAACAATTCATGATAGTGAGGGAGCATTTGTGTTGAAAGTTGAAAAAGGAGATAAGTTTTTGGGAGTGCTTAAAAGCAAGGGAGTGCGAAAGCTTTTTAAGCAAGGGATACGGGGAGTTACGGGGCACCTATTTATGTTGGTGCAAGAAGTGGAGGAGCGACAGGAATGTCATACGTAAGTTGAAGAACTACCGAAGGGATTTAGTGAGGTTTTTGTCGCACCTAAGGATTTACCTCCTCGGAGATCTTTAGACCATCGGATTCCTTTGAAATCCAATGCCAAACCAAGTAAACATGAGGCCCTATCGATATCCGTATTTCCGAAAAATAGAAATTGAGAAGATGGTGAAGGAAATGCTTCGAGCTTCAATTATCCAAACCTAGCCACAGTTCATTTGCGAGTCCAAGTGTTGCTAGTCAAGAAGAAGGACGGCACGTGGAGGTTCTCGCATTGACTATCGCGGATTAAATGATATTACTATCAAGGATAAATTTTCCATTCCTTTGATAGAGGATTTAATGGATGAGTTAGAAGGGTCTAGGATTTTTTCCAAGATAGACCATGCGGTCCGGATACCACCGCATTCGAATGGCAGAGGAGGACATCCATAAAACTCGCCTTTAGAACCCATCAAGGCCACTACAAATTTCGAGTAATGCCTTTCGACCTTACGAATGCTCCGCTACCTTCCAAGCCTTGATGAATCAAGTGTTCTCAGCCCACTTGAGGAAGTTTATTCGGTATTCTTTGACGACATATTGGTCCATAGTAAGGACTTAAAAGATCACTTGAAGCACCTTAGAGTTGTGTTGGAGATATTGAGAACCAACAAACTCTTTGCTAAAAGGTCGAAATGTTACTTCGGGGTGGGACAAGTGGAGTATTTGAGGCATTTGATCTCGGGACAAGGAGTGGCGACGGACCCAAAGAAGATCGAAGTCGTTTCTAAGTGGCTCGTATCGAAATCTTTAAAGGCGTTGAGGGGGTTTCTCGGACTCACGGGTTATTATCGTAAGTTCATTAAGGGGTATGGAACCATTAGTAAGCCATTAACGAGTTACTCAAAAAGGATAACTTCCATTGGAATACGAGAGGCAAAAGTGGCTTTTGAGAGACTTAAGCAAGCCTTATGTGATGCACGAGTATTGCCGCTCCCTAACTTCGGCGTCCCATTTGAATTAGAAACAAATGCTTGTGATTCGGTGTGGGAGTAGTTTTGATGCAAAATGAAAGACTAATTGTATACTACAGACAAGGCTCTCGGTCAAAGGAACAGTGGGCTATCAACCTACGAGAAAGAGCTATCGGCTATCTTAGCAGACAGTAGACAAGTGGCGACATTACTTAGAAGCGACTCCATTCATAATCAAAATTGACCACTTCAACTTGAAATATTTATTGCAGCAGAGGCTAAGCTCTCAACCGCAAAAGAAGGGGCTAACTAAGTCATTGGGTCCGGATTATAGAATTCGAGTACAAGAAAGGGAAAGAAAACAAAGCTCGTCGATGCGTTGTCAAGGATGCATGAGGAAGATGACGCAAGGGTGGAATTACGGGCTCTTACTCTCATTACTCCGAGTCGGGTTGAAGAGGTAAATGGGAGTTATGAAGGAGACTCGAGATGGCGACGAATAATGGCGAAGGTGGAGGGAAATTTAAACTCCGATTCTCACTACACTTACCGTGGTGGGATATTACGGTACAAGGATGGACTGGTAGTGGGAAAGATGAAAGTGGTCGCGAGCACGGATCCTCAATGATTTACACTCATCTCCGGAAGGAGGACACTCCGGGTACCATGCCACCTACTATAGAGCTAAACAACGCTTCCATCGGCCCAATATGAAGAAGGATGTTAGGAGGATAGTGAGGGAGTGCGAGTGTATGTCGACAATGCAAACATGAAAATATGCAATATCCGAGGCTTCTGAACCGTTACCGGTTCCAAATGAGGCATGGAAGAGCATCGGCTGGATTTTATAGAATGTCTTCCCCCTCGAAAGGCAAGAATACGATCTTGGTGGTGGTGGACGGGTTTACTAAGTACGATCACTTCATGACCCTTACTCATCCTTACTCTGCTCTGACGAGTTGCTCAAAATTTCTTGGCCAACGTTTACAAGTTATATGGGTTACCCGAAAATATAATTTTTGACGGAGATGCTATATTTACTAGTCGGTTGTTGCGGGAGTTGTTCAAGTTACGGGAACGAACCGCACCTCGGCTCTTCCTATCATCCGCAACCGACGGACGGACCGAAAGGGTCGACCAGGTGCATTGAATCCTACTTAAGATGCATGACATTCCAAAATCCAAGGAAGTGGAGTAGATGGATTTACCTAGCTGAATGGTGGTACAACACTTCGTTCCATTCGACACTTGGTATGACCCCTTTCGAAGCCCTCTACGGATTCAAGCCTCCAAGTGCATACAATAGTGGTTGATCGAGAACCACGAAACATTTCGGTTACTTTATACTTACAAGAAAGGGAGAATGCGATACATGAATTGCGACATCAACTTTTGAGGGCTCAAGACCGTATGAAAGCACAGTCGACGAGGGTAGAAGTGAAAGGAGTTTTGAAGTGGGAGATTTGGTATTTCTAAAGTTACAACCGTACCGTCAGAACTTAGTAGAGAAGAGGATAAGCAAGAAGCTTAGTCCTAGGTTCTATGGCCCTTTTCGGATCCAAGAACGAATTGGGAAGGTAGCCTACAAATTGGAGCTACACGAAGGGAGCTTAATACACCCGATTTTCCATGTGTCCCTTTTGAAGAGGACGATAGGAGTTGGGATTGCCTCCAGCTCTAAACTACCAGACAGACTTAGCAAATCCGAGCTTCCATTATAGAGCCTAAGAAGGTTTTGGAACGGAGGGTGTTTAAAAAGAAGAACGAGCTGGAGTAGAATGGCCGATTTGGTGGAAGGGTCCGGGAGTAGAAGAGGCGACGTGGGAAGATGCGGAGGAAGTGTCGGCTCAATTTCCTAACTTTGATCCAGATGCTCGATTCTTGAGACAAGAATCATTTGAAGGAGAATGGAATGTTACATCCCCGTTACGGCATGTCGTTAGCCTTAAATAAGAGGGTGTCGTTTTCGGTGTTTTGTAGTCGGTTATCACTCGTTGTCATTTTTTGTTAATTTCAATTGTTTTGAATTTCGACATGCCGATCCGTTACAACGGAATTGCGGATTGTTGGGTAAATAGAATATTTGTACGGAGGATCATCATAGGGGATTATTCGAAAAATGTTCTTTGATTCTCTCACTCATTCTCTCTCCCTCTTTTCTTTCTTCTTCCTTCTTCCTCAATCTTCTCTATTCTTCATTTTTCCATTCTCGGCTTCGCACTTCCGACTCCGTGTACATAACATCGAAAGAGGATTATGAAGCAATAAAGGTCGAAGTAGGTAAACCGGCAACTAAGCTCTTATCCCTCGCTTTCCACTCTCATGCTTCGATGTTAGAGAGTGAAGAAATGCATGCAAAGTCACAAGTATTTAAATCTTCAATCAAATGGCTAATCGAAGATGCGGATTCTCCGGTGACCCGAATGATAGTTTCGTAATGTAAATTATAGAATACAGAGTAAAAGGGGAGAGAAAAATAATGTTGGAGTCACGTCGGGACGCACCTTTCGGAATGGATATGACAATACACACCCAATTTGAAAGAGTCGTTCTCCAAATTCTTGATGGAATTAAGCATTTGGATTGCATTCTAATGCATCCAGGACAAACCGATTCAAATGAGTTGGTCAATGATTTTCGGTCTTCGCTGGAAGATGAGATGAAATGGTTTGAGGAAAAATTAGATCATATAGAAGAAATGGTAAATGAACGTATGCAATTATATGATTATGGTCTTTGGTCAAATCATCAAACTATAGATTCTTTTTGACCGATGGAACTGCAGATAGATATTGTGTCGGAGGAAGTATGGCTGGGGGAAGCATTTGCGGATGAAATAAGAGAGTTATCGAATTTGCAGATCAAACAAAAGAGTGATCGAAATCTGAATTTGTCTGGAGGAGTAGCCAAAAGTGAGCGGTTTCAATCAGGAAATAGAAAAGGATAACAACATTGGTTAGAATTTGTGTGTTAGTTCCATTGTTTTTCATTCTGATGTTGATCATTCCGCCTTTTCGTCTATCGCATTGTTATATTTCAAGGCTAATCTGGATTTTGCGGACGTAATGACATCTTACATTGGAGGAGAATAAACGTAGTTTCTTCTTAACAATGTTAAATTCTTCGTAATGCTTCTTCTTCTTCTTCTTCTTGTCTTGTGAGCTTTTCTTTATTCCTTTCTCGTTCCTTTTTGAAAATCATATTTTAGACATGCAGGAAATATAGCTCTGCTATAAGTAGAGAAGAACTAGAAGCCTTTTTTAATAAGAATCCTCGCTAAAGAACGAAGGTTTTGGGTAGAGATTAGTCGGGTGATTGTTGCGATTTTGTGCATCAATCTCCGATGTATATTTGTTATTCTTGCTCGTAGCTTTTTAAAATCTTAATTCCTTTTTGTTGACGGAGTTTCGTGTATTCCTCGGGATTTTGCTATGCATTCCTGTTGTAAAGGCATCAACTTCAACTCTATAGAATTAGGATATTATAATTGACCGAGTGTCTGTAATATTTTTATTATCTAGTCTTTCGGCATATTCAAAAAGGAAACTTTCTATTTCTTACTTCATTAGAAGTGGAGAGTTAGGTTTCCAATATTCCCACTATAAGTAGTACGTCTACTTCTCTTTACTGTTTGGTAAGAGATAAGTTGCTTAGTACTTTGCTGATGTTGCCCCTCATAGTTTCTTTTGGTGCCATTGATTTATTTCTTGTGATGTGATGTTTTCTATAGAGAATGGTGATGTTTGCATATTGACATTCCAAGCATAACATTCATGCAAGACTTTAAGATCATGATCATTGCAAACACAAAATGAGAACCAAGAACTAGGTAACAACCTACAATTTATCAATGTATTTGATTACTATCTATTAGTTATAGCCTATCAAGTTTCAAATCTATTGAAACTTAAATAAGTGCTCGATGAGCTATTTGTAATTTTCAAGTTAAACAGTTTGTTCATTTGTATCACGACTACCAAAGTGGGTCACGATCAGCACAAGAATCGAAAAACTCGTGAGACCCATTTCGACTCAAGCAAGCTTCGGATACCTTAATCCTAATTACTAAACCTGTAGTAAATCAAATTTCAATTTCCAAAATAAAATCCTTAATCAATATAATAATACAACTCTCATCCAATTCATAACATCAAATCCTAATTAATTAATATCATATTCAAATCCATAATATTACATCTAGTTTATAATAGTTAAATATATCTAATACAATAATCATCAACCTAACACAACTCCTATAAATGTAGCTGCAGAGCTTCTAAAAGGTACAATAATATCAAAAGACAAGTTCAAAATATTATAAATAAATAAGCCACTTGATCAATTTGTCGACTTCAAAATAAGGAGTTTTGTGAAAGTAAAAAAGATAATTTCACAAACCCCGCAAAAATAAAAAAATAGAATGTGATCGAATCAACAACTCAATGAGTAGTTATTATATAATATATCTAGGGAGGAGAAATCGACCAATGAAAAATAATTTAAAATCTACTCAAGATGCAATACTCATTTCTCAAAGTCAAAATGCATACTTTAAAATCAAATCGTATATCATATCTTATATCATATTTTCAAATAATTCAAATTCAAATCGAAACATGTAAAATCAAAATCATACATTGAATTACTTATAATCAATTCAAATTATATCAAGCATCAAAATCTATACATAGAATATCAAATCAAATCAAGTATCTAAATTTACACCTAGAATGAAATGGAACATAATGTATTGTTGGATGTGAATATCCAAAGGCTATGATTCTCGTAATTAGGTTTTTGTATGTTAGCCGACACATAGGCTAGCACTACACCTCTTCTCGCTAATTAAGCATTACGTATCGGTGAGCTCACAAGCTACGCCTTCCTTAGCTAGGTACTTCAAGATAGTCAATCAAATTAAAAATCAAATAAACTTATACATAATCCAAAAATATCCAAATCCAACGTATCAAAATACAATTCATGATTAAAATCAAATTTGGTAATTCAATTCAATATCAAATGTCATAATCAAAGTCTAAGATCAAATACAAACTCATATTCAAAATTATAAATCAAATACTTATTTAAAGTATATAAATAAAATCATAACCAAGAATCTAAATCAAACTAGTAATTATGTAATACCCCGAACCTATAAATAAATGAAATAATATATTTTAAATGTGTATAAAAATTACGCCGTGAACATAGAAAAATTGCTAAAGGGGTGTTAGAATATTCAATGCACTTAGGATAATTTTTTTTGTACTTGGTGGATATTTTATTGGCTTCTCTATGCGTAAATAGTGTCTTTTATGCAAAATAATTATTTTGAGTATTTTAAATGTGTATGAAAATTATTCTATGAGCATAGAAAAATTTCTGGAGGGGTGCTAGAATATGCAATGGACTTAAGTTAATTTTTTATGCTTGGTAAATATTTTATTGGCTTTTCCGTGTGTGAATAGTGTATTTTTACGCAAAATAATTATTTTGAGTGCGTAAATAAGTGCATAAAAATTAGGTGATTGATGAATAAATTACTATAGAAAGTGTATAAATTTATTTGAAAAGAAATTATTTTTTTAAAGTGTGTGGAATTAATTATATACATAAATTGCATAAAATTAGGGACCTAATTGCATAAAATTAGGAACCTAATTGCATAAAATTAAAAATTTTAGCCCTCAAATAAATTTGTAAATAATTTTTAGGGGCATAAAGATATTGAAAAAGCCTTGGAGAAGGACCAAAAATAGTCATCTAAAAATTTGATGGGTTAAAATGTAGAGATGAAGATAAAATAATGTGATAAATCGAGGGAAAATAAAATAATGTGATAAATTCAAGGATCAAAATAAATAATTTGGCCAAGATTTTTCTTCCAAATCCGCCACTTCACCCTCCCACATTGAATGAGTGTAATTATTAATTTAACAAACGGATGGCTAAGGTTTAGATGATGGATGGCTAGGATTAAAAGTAAAATCAATAGTGGAGATCAAAACCAAATGAAAGGCCAAGATTAAAGTCCAACAAAGGAAAAGTCTACCTCTTTAGCTATAAATTCAGCTTATAGGAGAAGGAAGAAATGGTGGAAAAATAGAAAAATTAGGCCAAATTCTTGCCAACAAAATTCCCAAAATTACAAGCCAATTCAACCAAGACCTTAAACACACCCTTAAATCACTCAACTAAGCTTGGAATCATAATTGGGAGATCAAAAATAGCAAGTGGAAAAATTTAGGGAGGAGGCCAAAACTTAGAGGAAGAAAAGAGGAGAAAATATTACACAAAAATTCAACTTGAAAAGAATTAAATTAGAGCATTTAAGGTAAGTTAGTCACATAACATTACAAGAATTTAAGTTTTGATGATGAATAGAATGATTTTAGTGGAAAGATTATATATGTTATGTGTGATGAGGTAGATTGAACCTTTTGTATATGAATATGTGATTTTGGATTGGATTGAATATTGGTGAAGTGAATTGATGATGTTTTGTATTTAATGATGCATGAATTGTTAGGTTTGCACAATTAATTCAACTTTAATTGAATTAATTGAACTAGTTAGGGTTAGGGTTCTTAAAACATGTGAATTAGGAAAAATGATGTAGGTGTTGAAATCAATGAAATTGATGATGGAATAAGCTAATTGGGCATGTAAACAAGTGACAAAAATGAAAAACTACCTAGCCGAATTCAAGAGGAAACTTTCAACCAAGTTAGGGAATTTTAGAGTTTATGGTGCATTTGATTTATTAATATTTAATTGATAGAATACATATTATTGAAGTGTAATTAGATGATTTAATATGTGAAATAGCATTTAAATTGAAAAATTCCCTTAGCTTCGAGCTAATTGCTCATTCGGTCCAAATAGAAAAAATTAGGGTTAGAAGTTTGATTCATGTGTTATTGTTATTGGATGGTTTAAATGACGAAGTTAGAATAATTAAATGGGTTAGTATGTGTATTTAGTAATTAGAAAGAAAAATTCACCTAGCTTAAATGAAGGGAAGGTTTAAGCCATACATGAGGCTTTAGGAGAAAATTTTAGGTAAACATACTATTGTTTAAGTTAGTGACTCTATGATTAATTATGTGTATTACATGTGTTTAAGGTGTGCGATTATGTATCTATTTCATGATTGTCTATGTTTATAGAAAGCGTGAAATGAGTGAATTAAATGGGTTAATGTTTTATTGATTGAATGATGTTGCCAATGTGACATCGTGTGATATACCGTGTTAAATATTTTATTGATTGGATTACATACCTTGAGTGGAATTTGATGGGTTGAATGTGAAAGGTAATGGATTCCTATGTGTATTTTTATTATGTTGAGGTATGCAATTTCATTACATAAATGCACATTTATTTATGACATGTATTATATTCATTCATGAGGTTATGCATTTACATTTAAATGCATATGCATGTCAAAATCATGAAAAGTTTTATCTTCATGATTTTTCAAAGGAAAAGGAAAAAGGTTATCGGGGTTTATCCTTGATATTTCTTCATTAGAGAAATTGGTAAAGGCCTCAACAAATGAATTTCTTCGTTGAGAGAATTGGTAAAGGCCTTAATGAAGAAAATGGTAAAGGAAAAGAGGGTCGAACATGCATGTACATGTGCATAATATATGTTCGGCAAGGCGCTTTCAAAAATGGAAAAAGATTTCAAAAGGACATGAAAATGATTTTAAAAAATTTCAAAAAGGACATGAAAAGGATTTTAAAATGCATTTACGTGTATATATGCATAGCATGTATGACTAACTTATCGAGCAATAGCTCACCTAGTTCTTATGATGTAGGGGTGAAGAATAAAGAGTAATGGCTATGTTTTACTAAAGCTTGTTACTAAATGAACTCCTTCATCTTTTCCCCGGGTGTATTTTACATGTGGTTGCAAGTTAGACTTACTTCGTGTAAT